CTTCTGCATTTGCTGTCCCCAACCCCTCTAAAACACTTCTCTGTCATATCTACATGGTTCACTCTGTCACTTCCTTCAGATCTCAGCTCAAATGTCAATTTATCAACCAGACTTTCACTAGTCACTTTACTTAAAATTACATCTCTCCCTGAGTTTCTACCCCCTATTCTCTTTCACCTGACTTATTTATTAACAATGATAACCATCTTACATAGTATACATTTACTGGTTTATTTATTGACTCTCTCCTTCTTAAGGACTGTAAGCCCTATGAGGGCATGGTTTGTTTGTCTTGTTCACCAGAGTATCTCTAGCACTTAGAAAAGTACCTGATATATGGTAAGCATTCAATAAAAATTCCGAAAAAAACGAAAAAAAAAAAAGGGTGAGATTTTAAAAGTATAAAAATCAAAAAACAAAACATCACAATATCACAGTGCCCAAAACATTTTTTTTTCAGTTGGCTCTTCTAGAATATTTTGTTTTTACATTCATATCATCTGGAAATAATTAACAACTGCTTCCTCTTTTCGAATATTTAACATTTTGCTATCTTTTCTAATTGCTTTATCTGGAATTTTTAACAAAAATAGTAAATGTTGGTGGTGATTTTTTCTTTTGTTCCTTACTTTCACTGGAGTTTCTTTGAAGTTGAGGGTTCTGACTGGGGTTTGAAACACAACACACACACACACACACACACACACACACACACACACTCTCTCTCTCTCTCTCTCTTACCATATGAAGAATATATTTCTTCATAGAGTACTAAGAATTCTGTCAGAATTGTATTAGGGTTTTATTAAATTATTTGTTTGAATTTATTGATATAAGCATGTGAATCTTTTCATTCGACTTAATCTGATGCACTGCAATACTATACTATACTATATTTCTCCATAGCAAATAATCTTGGCATGCAAGGAACTGTTAATAGATTCACTTTGCCATGGTATAGTTACCTTTCAATGAACTGACAAATTACATTCAATGCTTTTAAAGGATAATTTGCATCTCTCTATATATTTTTGTAAAATTGATCTTTTTATTCTGTGCAACTTTAGTCAAGTTTGTTAAAATTTTGCTAGCCTCCTAGAGAAAAGAGTAAGCTTTTATATTTTCTATGCTCTGAAGCAGCTCAAAGTTAAATATTCCTTGACAATGTGAAATAATTGACATATGAGGTCATCAAGTCTGCATGTCTATTATATTGTTTATCTGTGAGATATTCTTGGACAAAAGGACAAACTTTTGAAAAATAATAAAATGATCTGGTCTGGATTCTTATTTCCTCTTTGGAAGTTTAGTTATTTGTAACTTCTGGTAACTTTTACCTAATACATAAATCTGTGCCTACTATTATCTCTTCTTTCTCACTTCTAATTTTTTATATTTGTGCTTGTTCAATTATGTTTCTGAGGAAAGGAGTATCCTCCCCTGGACACCTCCTTTGCCCTTTGGCAGACGGGGAAAATTGGCAGAGACCCACACTTGTGGCATTGAGGTGAGAATTCAAACACAGGCTAGTAGCATCCAGTGATGAGGTCATATTCCACCTCTGTGAGACTGCCATGGATGCTGGTGCCAACAGGGTGTTGAGACTAGCAGACCAAGTGGTCCAGAAATCACTAACTCTACAGTCCTGCTTTGTGAGCAAGGTCTGACTTTTCAATTTCTAGGAAGAGATCAGCAGTTAAACAATGAAAAAGCCTAACTAGTAGACCAATGCAAGCAGTCCTAAGGGGTCCTAGGTAAATATTTAGTAAGGTTATCTTGAAGCAAAACTATCCCTTTTTGACTTCTAGGTGGAGCCTGTAAATCTTTTAACCACTTCAGTACGGCGCACACTGGCCGAGAAAACTTGCCCACAGCCAGCATTCATAGTCTGCACGATATAGTTTGTGCTATGATTGACAATGAATCTGTGTTGCTCTAGTGAGATGAGGAAAGCTTTAAAGCACTGAAAGCTTGTTTTACTTTACAGGTAGCTTTACTTGTAATGTAAATCAGAACATATACATATATGGTAACATATACATATATGTTTTCATTAGGTAACATATACATATATGTTTTCATTATGTTATTTTTAAATGTTCACAATTATATTTTGATAAATGAAAAATTAGAAAAGTCATATCACGGCTGTCAGCTAAAGTTGACGCTCGGCTGTGCACCTTCATATTACAGCTGTTGGCTAAAGTCACCGTGCGCGTTCATCTGTGGCTATCGACTATAGTCGACGCTCATACTGAAGTGGATAATTTTGGTATTAAAGAGATATATGTTTTTTTTTGTCTCAGGCTGATAAGGCCACAGCATTTGGGTAAAATAATCCTTTTCCAGTTTCTTTATTCCCCTCTGCCACTTTTCATTGCTTTTTAGGATCATTCATAGGCATTTTTTTGGTGTGTTCTGATTTCCCCTAAGAGTTTCCCAGTGTTTCATAGTAATCACTTTCCCAGCAGTGAGAAATCAGATCCTTGGATATACAATCCAATTCTTCACTGGGTATATTATGATATCACATAGGCACCTCAAATTCAGTATGTCCCAAATTAAGTTGATCACTCTCCATTAATACCCATCTATGCCTATTTTTCATATTTATATTTTGCCACTATTTATTTCCATTCAACTTAGAGCCTGAAAGTTCACTTAAATGTTTTAGTTTTCCTCACCCTCCACATGAAAAACCAATTAATGTTTGTTCATTTTATTTCCCCTCATTTTTTCTCATAACTCTCTTCCACTCCACACCTACTTCCACTATCCTAGTTTAAATTCACATCATCTCCTTCTTATATTTTCTTCAGTGGCATTTGATGCATTGAATATGACTTAAACCAAGGTGCAATAGACCAGGAAACCAGGTCCAGTTAAGTATCTAAGGAAAGTAGTTTTGTTTAATCCATCTCCAGATAGGTGAGGCTGAACTGTAGGTACTCTCTTCCTTTGGTTTGAAAGTATTTTTATCACTTGCCCTCATTTCCTTATTTTTTTGATCTTTGTATCAGAACCTACTTGATACTCTGACCACAAATCTAATGAACTCAGCCTACAGTGGCTTAGAAAGAAAGGATCAAGATCAAGTGGATATCAGATTGACAAAGGGCATGGAATTTGAGGACACATTGTTGGCAGGGGTGTGGTAAAGCAGGCGTGCATACATTATTTATAGAAGGTTAAGTTGGTAGGAACTCTTTGAAGGATGATTTGGCAATGGCTATGAAATATAAAATGAACTTATTCGTTGAACTAGGAATTCCATTTCTACTTACATGTTTGCACAAAGATGTATACACCAGAGTAATCACTGCAGAATAGTTTCTAGTAACAGAAAATCAAAATAGAAGAACCAAAATTAATGCTTATTTTTAAAAGTGTAATGAACAAATATATTCCAACCATACAATGAAAAACTACACAATAACAATTAGATATATATGTATAAGAAACAATTTCTAATATTTTGTGATTTAAAAAGCACAGACACATACAACACATGCTATTTGTATAAAAATTGCATACAAATACATACATTCATATATACATATAGACTATCTCTAAATGTATATACACACAAAATGTACTGGTGGTGATCTATGACAGGAGACTAGGGATCCTGGGATGTTAGATTGACTTTTCATTGTATACTTTTTATATATTATGATTTTTTTGTCATGTGCATGTATTAAAGCTATTTTGACATAAAACAAAACAAAAATAAAGACTAAGTGGTGTTGATAAATATATTTCAAAATATGAGAAATATCTGCATATGTAAAATAGTATATATCTATGCCCTCTCCTCACATGGGGAGTAACATACAAACACATATATAAATACATTGTATATGTAACTAGTTATAGGTACAGCTTATACATTTGTATAAATGAAAAGCAGTTTGTTATATATCATCTTAAAAAAACCAAAACTAACCATTTTAACTTGTACTGTGTATATTTACATAAGGTATTCAAGATGGTTGGTATTCAAGATGATATTTAATCTTTTAACCTATAAGCGTAACTTTCCTTTTCAAAAACAGATGTACAAAGGAATGTGTGCATAGCTGATATTTTAGCTTCAGATTCTCTCCTGGAAAAGTTTGACTTTAATAAATATCTAGATACATAGAGAAATTCCTAGAAGGACAAATTAAAAAAATAAAGCATTAAAAACTTTAGTCTCTCACTTAACTTCTAAGATGCTGAACACATTTTATTTATTTTTCTGCAATACATCACATACTGGATCCAAACAAAAGAATGATCCATGTATACAATTAAAAAATATCAACAAAACCTACTCTGAGAACAACTGCTGACCTTTTACTGTAAATGGCTAGCTGAACTTTAAAGAAATGTTTATCACCCAAAATACCTCCCTGATTGCACTGCCACATATATAGGCCAGTTCTGAATAGCTCTGAAAATCTGTAGCATAAATGCTACTCGCAAAAGCAGACCATAATACAGCAGCTTTACACAAGAAGGCTGAGGGCCTGGGGATTAGTGATGTTAAAGTTTTACTGAATAATCACAATTGTTGATTAATAGTAGGAATAACATTGCAAGACTTATGTAAGAGAATGTATTTTTAAAGCATTTTATGCACCAACAATATGAAAACAACAGACATTGAGTGTCCAACATTCAAATGAAACACACCCCAAACAATGGCAATCTAGAACTTGAACTGCATTTTCTAATAGGAGTAGGGGTATAAATGAAGGGTAGTTTCTCAGACAAGCTCAAAAGACACTGTAGCACACATTTTACAAAATAGCCTACTTCTGAAATGTGTATAAGACCTGATCATACTTAGAAATACTGATAAAACTAAATTACTAAATAGTAGCAAGGACAATTACTGCATCCATATAAGGAAAACACATATGTGAATCACTGGAAGAAAGAACGCACGTAGAGTTTAGCCAAAATTCTTTGTATGAGAAGGCAAACAGTGCTACTAGGAAAGGTGCATAAAAGTCTTAATGCCAAGTTTTTATTACTCAAAGGACCACTTTGCTCTTTTGTACTTTCCTACCCTAAACAGATAAGTTGAGAATGTTGAACCTGAAAAACAAAAGCCACAGAAGTAAAAGCACAAATGGAGCATGAAGAAGGAAAATTAGACAGAGCTGAAAGGTAAATTTGTGCACTTTGAGAACACGGCAGCCATGCTTAGCTCCAGAGGCCTGCGTAGTTTCCATGGAGACCTGAAGGGAGAGGCCCCCCAGCCACAAAGAGCTTCATCTCAGGCCAGTTGTAGCAGTGGGTGTAGAGAGCATTGGGGAACTCCCCAATGCCCCCAAAGTAGTTCACCCAAAGGTCATCCTGGTTGAGCCAGCCTCTGCCACAAGTGAGCTTGAGCTTCCTCCCTGCACACCCTGGTGAGGCGTCTGGGCTGGCCAAGGCCCTCTCCTCCAGGAACTTCTGGGCACGTATATCATAGAAGAGCAGGGAGCCATGGCCTGTGCCCACAGTGATGATGTGCTGATAGAAGCTCAGGGAACGCACTCCCGTGCCACCCTCTCGAGAGCACATGGGCCGGATGTTCTGCTGACGCTGGCGTGGATCCAGGAAGGAGACATGAGACTGGGAGCCCACAGCGTACAGGGACAACTCATCGCAGTAGTTCAGGCACACATTCTCTCGGCAGTAGGGCAGCCTGAGCGACAGTAACCTGGACAGGGTGCTCCGGGCTTTCCACAGGTGGAAGTAGCCATCCAGGGACACCGCTCCCAGCTCCTGGTTCTTGCCACTGAAGGCCAGCGCTCGCACTTTGCGGTTACTGGGGTTGGTGCTGGCCCTGGGGATGGCCTCCACGTCCATCGGATGGATGTGGGAGTACACGGGGAGCCCCAAATCGTTGTGCCAGGTAATGTTGCCGTGGAACATGTCCGGGTGCAGCCGCCAGAGCGCCACAGTGCCGTCGCGAGAGCCGCTCACGGCCACGGTGTCACTCAGCCAGGCGATGGCGAAGATCCAGTCCTTGTGGCCGTGGCGGTCGCCCAGGCACACGGGGTCCAGGGTGGGCAGCTGGTAGATGGCCAGGCTGTTGGGGTTTTCGCCCCCGGTGGCCAGAAGGGTCTTGGAGGGATTCAGCTCGATGGCATGAATGCCGCAACCCGGCTGGGCCCGGCCTAGCCCTGCCACCCTGTCCCGCAGCAGGGGGATGCGTGTGATGTGGCCCGACTGCACGTCCACCACGAAAAGCGTGTTACACTTGGTGCCGCACACTACCTGCCTGGCGTTCAGCCACTGCGACGCGAACACCTTGTTGAGGGTGCCCAGGGCCAGCTGGCGCTCTGTCAGCAGCTCCGGCAGCCTCTGTACCGCGTAGCTGCTCAGCTCGCCCTCGAAGCCCCGGAGCCCCGCGCGGTCCCCCGCGCCCACCTCGCGGCCCCTCAGGTAGTGCAACAGCGAGCGACGTGTCGCCGGCCGCTTCTGCTTCTTGGGCAGCAGCGGCCCCTCTCCGTCCGCTGCCGCCCCATGAGAGGACGAGCTCCCGGCGCCAGCTTCGACCGCGGGCGCTTTCCGCTTCCTGCTACCTGTTTGCTGCGGGGCCATGGTGGGCGGCGGGCGAGCGGCGGTGGCGCGGCGGCAATGGCGATGCGTGGCACCCGCGTTGGCCGTGGTGGCAGCGGGGATGGCGGCGCCTCCGTGTCAGCCAGGAGCGCGGGGTCTCAAGGACCGAGAGGCTGTGGCGACAGTGGGCGCAGAGCCTCCGGAGTCTTAGGCGCGGCAGCGGCGAAGAAGGCGGCGGGGGTGGCGAGGCCGGAGGAGGAACGTGGGCGAGAGAGAGCTCAGCGCAGGCAGAGCGCGGCGGCGGGGGTGACAGCGCCGGGGACCTAGGCTAGGGCGGGAAGTGTGGCCAGCGGCGCTGAGGGAGGGAAGTCAGAGTGTGGGGAGGACAACGCTGGGGGCAGGAGTGTGATGGGCGGAGGCGGTGGGAGGAGCGGGTGAGTAGGGAGGGGGTGGAGGAGGGAGGGCGTTAATGGAGTCCTGGGGAAGGAGTATGGGAGGGCTGGCCCTCCAGGACCACTGTATCCAATGGCCTGTGATTCACCACCCTCAGGCAGGACAACCTCCAACTAGCCATAATATCCCTACTTGAGTAAAATTTGAAACCTAAAGTATGGTCAAGCATGGGGCTAAAGGTAGCCCTGACCATGATCTGTGTGAAGAAACCAACACGCACTTGGTGTAATCTTGGGAGAGCTTTCCTTATGATTAGACATGGAACTTGGCAAGGGATGCGTGTGTGTGTGTGTGTGTGTGTGTGTGTGTGTGTGTAGGGGTGCTGTTGGGAATAGCAAGGAGTCATTTACCCTTATGTCAGACCTGCAGCCCCTTCAGTTTCAGCCTCTCTGAAGGTATGTTAAACAATTTCAACCAACTATTTTTCAATTTGAGGTCTCTCATCACCTCCTCCTGAATTCCTGAGGGATGTGTTCTAAATGCAGTTCCCAGGGCTCCCCTTTTCCTCCCAGCTGGTATCAGAGCCTCTTTGGTCAGAAGTAGCCTCAGGAATCTCCAAGACTGCAATGATCATAGGTGTGGGGATGTGGGGCTGAGGAGTGAGGAAGAGGTTGTTTCTCTAAGGCATGGATGTCTCTAGAATTTTGTAGCCCTTGAAGGGGTCGAGGGGTCGAGGGGAGAGGGAGAGGTCCAGGTGAGGGGTACCTCCCTCCCTCTCCAAGGAGGGAAAGTTCAGCCCAAACCTTCAATTCCAGAAGTCTGGGAAGAGCCCTGTTTTGTGTGGGAGGCCCCTGGGGACGTTGAGACAGAACCCCGAGGAAAGCGCAGGATTTCCACAGGCACAGATGGTGAGGAAGAAATTCCCAGAGTAATTTCATGGCACGGTGTGTGAGTAGACGTTCAGACAGAGCATGAGTTTGGCAGACTCAGGAATCCAATGGCCTGTATCTACTCCCCAGCTTCAAGGCAGCTAGCCAATCCAGTGGCAGGCCCATACCCATGTATACTCAGTTACACAGAGATACCTTGCTCTGAGAGGCTGGTGGCTGATATCAGCTCTGCATAGGCCTCAATCCTCCTCCACAAGAACGTCTTGGTTCAGTGCCTGTGAGTGTGGCAGTGGATTAATTTTTCTGATCAATCAGATGCGATTATAAGAGCTACTTTGTTGTTGCTTCCCCCTGCCCTTTCCCTACCCTTTTCAAACTTCAAGTGTCCAAACTCCAAGTACAAAAACCATGGGTCCTTCCCACCGCTCCTATCTGGCTGCTGCATCCCAGTGCCCACTACCCCCCTCTTAATAGTCCTCCTCATGTTTAATGCCACATCAAGAGGAAGATGAGGATGGTGATTTGGGAGTAATCTGACAAAGAAAAAATTGTTGGTGACTTCATAGTTACAAATGACATTACTGGAGAATAACTGACCACAAATTCCATTAATATAACCTGCCATTAAGGTTTTATTTTCTTGATTTTTTAAAAATTCTAACTTAGAAAAAATGATATTTTATGAGACTTCATGGCATACTTTTTACTGTTGTGGTAGAAGAAAATAGGCTGAAAATCTTGGAATATATCAGCCTATTTTGTCTTATGTAACACAGATATAACAAGATTGGATGAAATATATATATATGTATACTATAAACAAATATTTACAATATTTCAATTGCAAACATAATACTCATAACAGCTATTATTTATTGAAAGCCTATTTGTGTTATGGGCTAAAGGGCTGTGCTAAAACTTCAAATGCTAAATGCTTTATGTACATTCAGCCTCATTATAACTTTATTAGGTTGGTTCTATTTTTATTGCCATGCTTTAAATTGAGGGAATTGAAGTTCAGAAAGGTTAGTAACTCCTCCATAGTCACACAGCAAGTAAATACTAAAGTCAAGAAGTGAATCCCTGTCTGACTCCAATACTTTTGTGACTAATGGCTACTCTATTATTCAACAAATGAAATTTTTCTGTTTTCTTTGCCTTAAAACCATGTAAACTACTCCTGGTGTTATGCTTTATTAGCTTCTGGAAGATAACTACAACCCATAAAATAAATGAATAAATACTGATATAAATTATGTACATTTTCCATATATTTGAAGGCAAAGATATATAATCTCTGAGCTATGTCTCCATTAATGGAGATATGAAGATATATAATCTCTGGGACATATTTTTACAAATTCCATTTAATTAATATTTATGAAATGCAATATATATTCTTTCTTATTTTTGGTAAAAATAACAGCAATATAAATATTCCTTTTATTATGTCTGTCCACTTTTTTGTTACTATAAATATGCAATATTTATGTATAATAATGTGCCTGTAGTCACCAGTCAGATTACTAATTTGTATTGATGAGGTGTGTTAATTTTATTTAAATATTACACCTGAAACACATTTCATTTTGTGTCTATGCTTTCAAATTTCCCTGAGCTTATTTAAGGATGTACAAACAACTTCCAGACCAGAGGCAAGTAATGTTGAGAGATATAAAGTTTTGTATAGCAACTTGCAGTTTTGAACAGTTCTTTATAACTGATCGCTTACATTTTTAGGAAAACACAATGTAAGCTAATATATAGTCATAAACAGTGCATTTGGTGTTGAAGTGGTAGATGCAATGGTATGACAATAAAAATTTCAGGTATCTGCATAGCCCTCTGAGGGTCAGGGTCTCATTTAGGTACTTCTGTTATCTCTGTGGGACATTGCACGTACTGTAAACATCTTCTCAGTCCTTACCAATCTATTGTTATGTTTATTGCTGCTTTTTGCTTTGTATTAGCCTACCCTATCTCCCTATACCAGATTCTCCTTCAGGGCATTGTTTCAAGCTGTTCTCTAATTACTTATGTGTTTAATTTTTGTTTTCTCAATCATATTGTAAACTCCTCAAGAGGTTAGTTAATATTTTCTACTTATTTTGTATCATCACAAAGTTCTAGATACGCAGTAAATGGTTTATAAAAACTTGTGATTAACAGTGTTATATGTAAAAAGAACAAGAGAGAGAAATGAAAATAGAATATCTAAAAGGTAGAAATAAGACATTTTGAAATCAAATTACTTGAAGTGGATAAAAGTGAAGGATTTGAATTGTAGCAACTTCACATAACTTGTTTGATATTATATAGATACAGATATATAGGTCAATATTGATCAACATAGATATCTATATAACTTCAAACAAGTTATGTGACATTATTATTATCTATCTATATGCATGTATATTTCTTTTCAGCCTACCAGACAACTGTGTCTATCTTTTTAATCTATGAATGAAGAAAAGGAATTGTCTAGCCAATAACCAAGATAGATTACCAGTTTAAAATTAGTTAGGGAAAAAGTATTGTTATTACACTGTGGTATCATGAATATAAGGTTATTATTAAATGTGATTCAAATTATTTTGCAAGTGTTACTATTTTTAGGTCCCAAACTAAAATAGTCTCAGAACAAAGGCCAGAAAGTTGAAGGAAAGCTGGGTAGCAGTAAGACTGATGGGTCAGTAACAAGTCTGTTTGTAGAAATATTCTATTCTAAAAGTTTCTTTTATATAGTCTTCTATAGGAAAATAGATTTTACTTATGAATATGGGATTTACAAATTGGATCAGATTCTCAGGTATGGAGGAATTTGTGTTCAGAAATGGGATTGCATAATCATTTCCAATATGTTGTATATAGATATAAAACAAGGCTTTCCTTAAAAATATTTTGTGATATCTACTTTACATTTGTATGTATAGCCCTTGCATTATCTTTATGAACAAGTATAAATATAAGACACTAAAAAATGAAGCATAATTAGGCTTGCTTTAAAAAATATGTGGTAATGATACTCTGTTATTTATAACAGAAACAAGGCAAACTCTTCTTGAATTATTAAATTGAATACATTTTCACTTAATTTCAAGCTGTGACCTTGTCAAATCTAAGGTAAGCAGTGAACCTGGTTTGTAGTCAGATCGGAGGATTCCTTCAAAGTTCATGATGGAAAAAATGGTGTAGATGACGCAGCAGGCTATGTTTTCCCCTACGATGGTACTACTACAGGCATATGGAGTCAGATGTGATAAGAAAGGAAAGATTTATCACATTATTAACATTTACTATAAACAGAATTGTAGGTAAAGAGGCGATTTTGACTTTATGACCTCTTCTTTTCCCTACCCTTCTCCATCTTTTCTAAGAAGGAAAATGTGTTGGATTCCAGGCATGGACTTTGTTTCATGAGAGGGTAGATTCATTGCTAATTATATGTTTTATGGTAAGCACTACACTGTAGTGAGTAAGTGAGTTGGCTCTGCAGCCAGATAACACGGTTTAAATTCTGGTTCTATAGCTTGCTGGCCTAGGAATTGGGCCAGTTATAATACTCCCTTTTCAGTTATTCCCTTATTTATTAATGGGGACAATAATAGCACTTATGCCATGGAGTTGGGGTTTAAATGCGTTAATACATATATAGCACTAGAAACAGTGTCTGACGGATTATAAACACTTAATAAATTTCTCTTAAATTCTAACTGCTTTCCCTACTTTCCTTTATTTAACTTTATAAAGACAACTTGATAGCTA